AGTTTCAGCAAACAAATACATTTTCGTTATTAAAATTGATTTAATAATAATAATATTTATATTTATATATGTATTTTGTTGTTTAATAAAGGTTTTGGTGAAGATGACTGTACCTGGGAAGCTGAATCCAATGTGTATGATTTAATAATGATCATATTTAAATGCAATCGCTGCGATTTACTATATTTTAATTTGGATTTTACATGATTTCTTAAAAGCTACGCAGATGACCTTGTTGAAGAATATTGGTCAAAGAAAGAAAAAGAAGAGGAAGAGGCGTCAACGTCAAAAGCTAAAGGAAGAAAGAGAGTTGCACAGTCAACAGCACTTGTGAAAAGGCAAGATTCTAAAAGACAACGTAGTGTAATGAAAACAAAATCTCCGAGAACTAAAATGGAAGAAGATGAATTTGATGAAGATTGGGAAGACCAAGTCACTGCAGTTGAAACGGTTACACGTGATGATAAAACTGGTGAATTAATGGTATATCTAAAATGGTATATATATCTCTACTATTTAATGATTAATATTATAAGTATTCTCTTTATTTTCTTCCAAATAATAATGAGTGAAAACTTTATTTTGACATTTAGGAAAAATGGTGAAACATCCAGACATCCAGCAAAAGATGCCAACGCAAAATGTCCTCAGAAGGTAAGGATTGAATCTCTTATCCAGTATAAAGAATTTTTCCTGTCATACTTTTATTTTTTATTAATATCAAAAAAAAAACATAATAATAATAATAATAAACATAGATGATTAAATTTTACGAGCAACGTTTGACGTTTGCACCTCCTGCGAATCATAACAAAACTTAGTTTTACAATGAAAAACAAGCATGTTTAATTGCTTTTAGAAATACGGGATTAAAGCTCCTTTTTTGCGTTATTTCAGGAAATTTTAAAAAGTGCTTTGTTTTTTTTTTCACATTAATGCAAGAATGTAAATAGAATATTGATATTAGCGTTCCCAACTTATTGTTAGTTTTTTTTCATATATATATATCTATATATATTTTCATGGTGAGTATCGGCTTGATGCAGCATGTTTGATTTTGAGAAAACATATAATATCGTATATAAAACGAGAATGTGTAGTATTGATCAATAAAAAAAAAATAATCATTAGTTCAAAAAGTGTTATTTTATTTATTATACGTGTAGGTAGAGTTTTGAACTGGATATACTGAATCTGATTTCAAAACTCTATTATCTACTACAGTGACTTAGAATTAAATCATTATCATTATATAAGTTATACGAACCTTAGTTCAGGTACACGAAAAGCTATTTATTTGAAAAAAAAATGATTTGATTGGACACACATTACTACTGTAAATTTTTGAAACTTTTAATTAATAAATTTATTATCAGTTATTGGAAAAATTTTAATAAAAAAATTTGCTTGATTTCTACCGACTCACCACCACTGACTCACCACTGGCTCACCACTGGCTCACCCCAAATATCGATGTCTAATATGGTAATTTTACATTAAATGATGAAAAAGTTAATTTTACATTCATTACAGTATTACAGTATTAAGACAGACCAATTATAATTAGAATTAATATATCACACCATACATGGTAGCCCGATAAATGGCACGTCCCTTACTAAAAGTATATTTAACTATACTGTATTTAAATCTATATACCGGTAATAAAAGTTATTTCAAAAGGGAAAATAAATTGTTAATTCGTTTATTACGAATCGTTTTGATAGTATCTCAATAATTCAATTAATTATAATTGATATTTTAACGGCTCCGTTCTTTTTTGAGCCATCGTACGTCATACGTATTTCACGAGTACAAGTTTTCTAAGTCAACCCAATTCCAAAATGCTGAATGAATTTCTTCATTGCAACGCGTGTTTTGCGTATTTAACGTCTTCTACGTCTTCTACAACTCGAGAAACGCAAATACGATTTTGGTTGACTGAGTGTGGTCATGTAATCTGTCAGTCATGCCTGAATAAACACGGTGACACCACTCAAGGTAATATTTTAAGTTCAATAATTCTGGAATTTAGTTTACGTGAGCATAATATTTCTGGAATTTAGTTTATTTGAGCATAATATTTCCGTCTTCAACAACGTTTAGATAACTCTTCAACCGCTACCGAACCCATTTGTCCTGTGTGTAATACAAAGTGCGCTGCCGTTGAACTGACAGATCAAGTAAAGAATTTGTTTAAAATTTTTTATAAATGCTTTAAAGAAGTTTGTAATAACCGCGTTTTTTTTTTTTTCATTAGCTTCCTCCCAATCTTAGCATGTTCTTTCGTCCTGCTCATGAGATAATAGAAGAAACTGCTGATATTTTGAGGGTAATTTTAATCCTTAAGAACCCGTGACCTTATTATAATATTTATATCCAAAATTTATATCATTTAGTTTCAGCAAACAAATACATTTTCGTTATTAAAATTTTTGAAAGATAAGGTGGCAAAGCAAAAACAAATGCTTGACAAAGCGAAAAATGAATTACTTCAATATAAAGACACGAAAAAGTAAATTATGTTATCCATAATCATATTTCACATATAAAATCTCTTTAAATTAACCTGCACAATATTTACACAAAGTCAATTACAGGCAATTAAAAAAGAAAATCAACGGTTAAAAGCTCAAATACAAGATGTTCGCTCAAGCATAGCTGCAAATGAGACAACGGAATCCCCATCAAAACTGAGTACTAGGTTTGTTTTTTTATTTTTTTAAATATATAACAGATATTTGCTTATAAACAATTTTTTAAAATAAGATGCATTTACATAGTATGCGAACTCCCAATAAATCATCCGGTGATCGTCATAGTAATCATGTATCACCAAATCAGGTATAATATTATGTACTACCATGTATTATTCATATCTTTTAAATAATATTTAACGATAATATTTAATAGACATGTAAGCCAAGGACCAGATAGTAATTCACCTGTTCAACATGGTTATTATAATTACAATACCGATGGATTCATATCTGATAATCAATCATTATGGAATAGAGGTGATGGTAATTATGAAGTACTTAATGGTGAAGGAGTAATGCCTAGTCAAAACAGGTAAGATTTGTTTTATTAAGTTATATAAAATATTTATTTTATCCTTCAGTTTAATGAGTTTGCTTTACAGGTGTATATTAAAACATTAGTAAATTTATATAACTATAATAACTAATATCTTATGTTTTTTATATGTTAACAGTCATAAACAAAGTTTTATTGGCCAATCGCCTAATAAAATGTATTCTAATTTTATTGATAATGACTACGAA